TATATATATATATATATATATATATATATATATATATATATATATTTTAATTAACGAGCGCACTGATTCTTGCGTGGGTAAGACGGGAGGTGGCACGGTCTTGCTTTTGCCGGGACATTAATTGGTATTTATCATGCCTATCATCCGTTGTTCCAATTTTTAAGTAGAATGAAGTGTTTCCACTCTGTTCGTATTGTGCCTCCGTGTGTCAGTGTTGCCTGTTCGGACAGGGGTGGCGGGGAGTCAGGCTCACCATCAGGCACGATAACCCGAATGATCAATGTACCCTCTTTTTGATAGTGTGGTCACTAATTCTCGTCGTTGTAACAACACCTAATGATGTACTACATACACCGCAAAGTTTACCATACTTCACTGTCCCGACCGAATATCTTTCATACACCAGTCAGATATATATTTATCCATAGCAGTAGCTTACTCTACAACATAGAGCATAGAAATTATTACTTACTTTCTTTATGATAATTTACAATCCTTGTACATATACAGTTAACAAGTATATACTTACACGATACTCTGTCACGCAATATCGATGTTCAGTCGGATAATGTTACTTGTCTAATAATGCGCTATTAGAGCGAAAAAAAATAAAAAAAAACGCATCGTGTCTCACCGATAGAGATTCATCGCCGTTTGTGTGCACATTTTCTTTCTTTTTTTTTCTTCTTTTTTCTTCTATCGAATACATCCTCGTGTATCTCTCTCGTGTATCTGGCGAGAATCGAGCATGCGAAGATAAAGGAGTACGTGCTCCTCGGTGCGCAGACTCTTCACGCGTAGCAATTTTGTGTAACAGCCTGCGTGAAAACGACACGACCAACCAAGTTTTATAATAACGAGACGGACTCACACCTCTAGGGGATAGTGGAGTGGATTTTTAATTAAAAACGACGACGAATGTGTAACACAGTATCCATGTTGCGTGCGTGAAGAAGATAGTTTCTCTCGTCACGATTGCACATTGACGTTTATTTCTTTCTTTTTATTTGTCTCTGCGTATATACATGGGCGACGTGTCATGGTTCTAGGTTAGGCAACACCGCGGACGCGAGTGACGTTCAGTATATATGTGCGTGTGTGTGTGAAAGAAAGAAGAAAAGAGAAACAGAGAAACAGACGAAGACAGACTGACGCGAAAGAGAAGGAGATCTTTCAGACGACGTAACGACATATAAATACATAGTTACTGTGCGTTTAATTCAACGAGAGAGGGCGGAGAAGAAAATGTGAGAAAAGAAAAAAGAAAAAAAAAAAAAAGAAATATTAGTTAGTTCTGGACAGGCTTGGCAATTTGGTAGCCTAAGTCTGATGCTGAACTTGACTCTCTCTTGCTCGCAGGTCCAATTCGTTCCGGCAGACTAGCGGTGGTAGGGCATTGCAGGGCTTGGAGGGGGGAGGCTATCGTGGGGCCACTCCAAGCAGCTCCCTTATGGGCAGCTCCAGCATCTCTGCCCACCCCCTCCTGCCCCTCGGCGATCCTGGTATGTACCACGACCGACACCAACCTCCACGAGAAACGCTTTCTTTTTCATAGCCCTGCTCTCTTTGCCTCTTTGTTTTTTTTCTCTCTCTCTCTCTCTCTTTCTCTCCCCCTCCCCTTCCTTTTCCCCTCCTTCCTCTCGAAGAAAGAAATTAATTCCCCGAATTTTTTTATTCTTCCCCCCCCTAGCTACTTACTCGATTTATTTCTCTCGATTTTTCTTCTCTTTTTTCCTCCCCCAAGTATCGTATTCATAAAGTATATATCGTAAGAGTAGAGAAACAGTAGAGTTAGCGTATTGCAAATAGAACGCTTTTGAAAGACACGGAGAGTTTGTCTTCTCTCTGGGCTTGTTTACGTCGGAGGGTACACACCTGACATACTCGTAAGAATAATAATCAGACAAAATCGATCGATCGATTCGCGGGATTCGCTAAAGACGTTGGAGCATGGGAACACGTCGAAGATGTGTCGGAGGAGATGGCAGAGACGGTTAGAAACGGAAGGTGGGTGGAAAGAAAAAACGGAGAGAAAACGAGAGAGAGAGAGAGAGTGTGTGTGCAACGAGTGTTGAGAAGCGAGGAGTAATTGCATAAGTGTGTTTGGCGGGGAAAAGGTAAAAGGAAGCGAATGATTTCAGCCCTGGAAACCCCAGCTCTGTCTCTATCATGCGGCTCGATGACACTGGATTCTCCGACGACTGTGACGAGTGTCTCGATGGGAGGGACGATTCACCGTCGCGAAGACACAGCTACGTCGTTTCGGACACTTACCTCCATCGACGTCCATTCGCCGGCCACCCCCAGCCAGGTCCCAGCACCGCGGCAGATGCTTGTTGCCAGCCAGCAACGGATTTCATCAGCAGGTCGTATCAGCCCCTCTAACAGCAGTCCTCCTGAATTCCCCCCACCGCGACCTATGCCTAGACATCCCTGGCAGCGATCGGCCAGTTGCCGCGAGTTGTACGCGTCTAGCTTCGAGGATTCAGGGAAAGCGCGATCGAAGGACGAGAAGGTCCTTGCCGCCGCCATCGCCGCCGCCGCCGCCGCCGCCGCCGCTACCGAAGGCGGTGACGATATCCTGCTGGAACCTTTCCGTTTACCGTCGCAGGGCGAGCTGGACAATCCGGTGACGCGTTACGACGAGAGCAATCGTTCGTTCAGCGCGGCCAGCTCGAAGCTGCCGTCCCTCGATCATGACTCGGTGCCGGAGCGCGTCTATAGTAGCTCGTATCCGGGTACCTCGTCGCTCTCCACCGAGTCTGGCCACGAGGAGTCCGGCCCCGCGGGCGACCTCTCCCACGACGATCTGTCGCACGATTCGTACGAGCTGTTGGAACGCGAGCACGAATTTGAATACCCGGAGTCGTACTCGAGTCCGCGGGACGACGACGACGACGACGAGGACGAGGACGGTGACGAGGACGAGGACGAGGACAACGACGACGACGACGAGGAGGAGGAGGAGGAGGAGAACGAGCCATTGTCCGACAGAAGCGACGAAGGAATCGAGCACGAGATGTTCCAAATGGACTCGGAGACCGATTCCTTCGTCAAGCATCGGTCGATCAAGTCGACGGACAAACAGCAGTTCAAATCCGTGCTCGCGGACCTGAAGAAGAAGAGCCAAGCTAGAGCCAAGTCCATCGATCGGTACTCGGCCGCGAAACCGGAGACAACGAGGGACGGTGGTGTAGACAACTACATCACCGTCGAGTCTCGCATACAACGATCTAGCACGCAGATCGAGCGAAAGTTCGAGACGCGGCACGCAAACTCGATAGACCAGCAGCAACAGCAGTCGAAAGTTCCTCTGCCGCATCAGGACTCCGGCAGGAAAGACCCGGTCGTGTTGCAAGTGCAAAAGCAGAAAATGAACGTGCTGAACGAGTTGAAGAACTTCAAGCCCAAGTATAAGATCACTCACGTGGATTCGGAGGTTTTACGGGACGAGGGTATCATGCGGCCCAAGTCACGCATAGACGACGACCTGAGCCCGGTCGACTCGACCAATCGAACGATCGTGGATCAGAGAGGTAGGACGGTGAGGGCGCGGAGCATCGCGAGTCTCGAGGATCATATATCG